AACTCTCTTCTGCAGTTTCAATTTCCTTCCTCTTACAACAATAAACACATTTAGGCTGTTCACCTACTCTGAAAGCTATTTGGAATACATAGGTAAAGATGCAAGATTTACGCTCCCTCTTCCATTTCCCCCCCCAGGAAGAGAGGTGTTAATGCTTTGTTTTTCTTAAAAAAGAGAATAAAATCCATGAGATTATGACCTCCATATGTCAAGGTTGTTTCTGAGTTCTTGATACTCTTTGAAAGGAGATAAATTTGATTTAGTTTTAACAGAAATTGAGTTTTTTTAATTTAAAAATGGGTAACATAGATGCTGCAAGAAATAAAGCAGTAGTTACATATTAACATTATTATCGTTAACGGGTTTTTAAAACATAGTTTTTTGTGTGGACATCTAAGAAGAGGCCATAGGCTGATTTGGGGGAAGGCCTCTCATGAGAGTATCAGCTATGGTTTTAATTGTGGAGGTGGACCCCTTATAGAGCTTGGAAATGTCACCCTCACGAACATACTTGGTTTGAGGCAAAACATCTCGTGGGTTTGTTTTGACACCAGGAACATAGCAGACAAATGACCAGAGATGTCTACCATCACAGAGATTAAGTTGGAAGGCCTGAGAAGTCCCAGCCCTCTGTAGCAGAGCCACAGCCCTGTGAATCATGCTGGGGGAAGGCAGGCTGGCAAGGCTAGCAGGAAAAGGAATGAAAACCAATTAGGGGACAGGCTACTGAGAAGGTAACATTTGAACTTCAGAAGAGAACCGTATACTTTTGGCTCAGATCAACAGTCTTGTAAGATCTGGAGAGCACAACCAGAATATACTGCTAATCTGAATTTGTTTTACATTTTTAACTCTTCAAGAACAAAAAGCTATTTTCTTTTTTATTTCTTTCTAAATTTTGAAAAGTTCTTTGGCCTTTAAAGATTGAAATCTTAGTATATGATAGACTTTCAAATATCAAATTTAGAATTTGTAATTTGAATTTTGTCAAATGCATATACATATAATCTCATAGAAAAAAAATCACATAGGCCACACGTGAAAATTATCTGGGCTGGGCTGTATATTTGATGAATTTTCTTTATATTTTATTATGTTTTTCTAATTATCTGCATGGGGAGCGTAGTCTTTTTTGAAGATTGAAAAAAGGGAAAGTACAAAGTAATGTAGGAAACATGCAAGTATGCACTACCTTTATTTGCGTTTTTAAAATTTTTGATTGGGATTTTTTTTGGAGAAGAAATAAATTATCAGAGATAAAATTAAAGTTTTTTTTAAAGATTTTATTTATCTGAGAGAGAGAGAGAGAGAGAGAACACGAGTGGGGGGGGGCAGGGTGCAAAGGGAGAGGGAGAAGCAGGCTCCCCATTGAGCAGGGAGGCTGACGCCGCCGGGCTCCATCCAGGACCCTGGGATCATGACCTGAGCCAAAAGCAGATGTTTAACTGACTGAACCACCCAGGCACCCAGAGATAAAATTAAAGTTCTCTGTTAAAGTCTACTTAAAAATACATTTATGTGCTCGCTTCGGCAGCACATATACTAAAATTGGAACGATACAGAGAAGATTAGCATGGTCCCTGCGCAAGGATGACACGCAAATTCGTGAAGCGTTCCATATTTTTGTCCCACATCAGGCTTCCTGCTCGGCAGGGAGTCTGCTTCTTCCTCTGACCCTCTTCCCTCTTGTGCTTTCTATCTCTCATTCTCTCTCTCTCAAATAAATAAATAAAATCTTTTAAAAAAAATACATTTATAATCAGAAAAGGGAATAAAGGCTTTAATTTTCAGAAAAGTCGTTGTTGACATGGTTGCATTTCACATGTTTATCCTTATCCCATGGTCAGTTCCTAATGCGAGAGTTTTCTATTTTAAAAAAAATCCGCAGAATCCTGAACAATCAAGTGTTTAAGGTCATGTATAGCTTAAATGAAGAATAATAAAGATTTCATGTTGTAGAAGGGGTCCAAAGTAATAATGCTTTAATAATAAAATAAATAAATATTAAAATAGGAATGGCAGGTGTGCTGGTTTAGACTTGTAACAAAACTTCTTCCTTCCATTGTTGTTTCTTTATCTAGGTCATGGTGAATCTAGATATTTCTTTGTAAGCCTGGAAACTCACGTATTATTTGATTTCTTCATGTACTCGGCCAAATGCAGGGGCCCAAGGTAAAGAGGAGAAGGCAATTTAGAGACAGAAGTAAGGAAAGGACAAAAATACAGTTTAATAACTTAATCAAAATACTGCTCCTGCCTTCACTGGTGGAACATATGACAGAATGCAAGCAAGACTAAATGGAATAGAGAGGTTCTCAAAAAGCTGGGTTAAAAAATCCTATCAAAATAAAGGACTGCCGGACTGCCAAAACTTCCCAGGCACACTGATGAAAGTTGTAAGCTGCACAATGAAAAAATAAGTTTATGTATGTGTAAAAACAGTCTATCAGTGACTTTTACAAGACAATAATTACATTTCCCCCTGAATGTATGTATATTTATTCCTCACACAGTTTTTCCATTTTAACTATTCGATCATTTCTCTTTCCAGTTAGCTATTTCAATTTGATTTCCTTTGAGCAAGTTTGGTGTGCGTTGGTGGAATAATGGCCATGTTTTTTGACCATGATTTCTTATATGGCTGGGGAACAGTAGTTCTCTGCACCTCAAAGAGGCATACAGCTGATAACGGACAGTGGTGCTTGTTGAAGAATCTTAATGCTTTTATGCCAGCATCTAAGTGGATACCAAGTAAAAAAATCTCATCCCTAAAACAAATGAACATTATTCACAAAATACTTTGTTACTTCTCAGTTAAGACTAATAGTATAAAGAATGTTATCTTCTATTATGTTATTGATCAAAAAATGGAATGCTTAGCATGAGATTTATTGTCTTTAATAATTTAATAACTATATTACATGTGGAAAATTATCAAATTTTATTTTATTATGATGATGTTTTGTGTGATATTAAAGAGTTTGAAGAATTTTATCTCATTTCCAATCTGAAATCTAGGGAGAGACAATGGGCTCTTTACTATCATCATAGCACAGGGAAGACAAGATAAATTTTAGTGTGAATGAGTATTACCCAACGGGATTTGAATACTTTTGAAATGCTTTAACTCTCATCTATGAAATAATGGAAAACTTTTCACACAATTGCTATCTTACCCAGCTTATAACTAAAATGGCAATAAAACAACTGCACATAAGCTTTGGTACAGATGGAGCCTTAGCAGTATAGTGAAGTCTGCACCATTAATAAATCTTAGAACTGAGAGTGGAATTGAGAGGTGTGGATAATGAGACTGATGGGCAATGTTCATGCCAGGAGTGCCTCCCAGCTTGCGATTATATGGTAAAGTTCTAGAAACTGTCAGTTCCTGTCACTGGGCAAGAGGAAGATGGTGTCTCTGCTATTGACCATGGAGGCCAGGGTCTGCCAAGGGTCATCCATGAACCCCAAACATTCTGCTTAGGGGAGAACAAAAATTATTCAGCAAACTTTACTGAGGACCTATTTTGTCCTGTGCACGATGCCTGGATCTGAAAGGAACTGAGATAGGAGAAATAGTCCCTGCCAAGAGGAACGCCCTGTTGGCCTGGAAGATTGACTTGTGAAGTGCATAATAATTACAACACCCTGTGTGAAGTGCTGCGATCAAGTGTGGTGGACCATAAACAGAAGAAGTACCAGCTTTGCCTAGAGGCAGCAGCCAATGCTTCACTGAGGAGGTGACATTAGACCAGGGGTAGATAACTGCTCTCTTATTAGGAAACAGGGAACCATCTCTCAAATACTGAGAACAACATTTTAAAAGAGGCAAGACATTCTTTTGGAGAATGTTGCATAGCTCAAGTAGCTGAAGCAGAGATTCTACCTCTGTCCATTTTTGTTGTCCAGCATCTAATTTCACTTTTTTTTAGAGAGAGAGAGAGAAAAAGAGAGTGAGTCCATGTACGTGAGCAGCAGGGGGGAGGGTAGGGGCAGAGGGAGAGAGAGAGAGAGAATCTTAAGCTCCATGCCCAGCACGGAGCCCAACGTGGGGCTGGACCTCACAATCTTGAGATCATGACCTGAGCCGACATCAAGAGTCGGACACTTAACAAACTGAGCCACCCAGGCGCCCCAAAGCTAATTTCAGTTTTGATGGCCAACTTCTCCCTATGCAGCAAGTCTGACTCTTGTTTCTGCAACCCTCACCACCTCCCCCTTTCTTGGCAAGAAATGGCTATCTAACAGGCTCTAGCCACTCAGATGGAGCAAGGAAGGGAGGCAGAAAAACACATCAAGTCGAGAATCCTTCTGGTGTTAACAGCATCATTGGGGTTGAAATTTCCAGGGACAGTGGCTGTGGGGCCATGGCACACCCAGTGTCCACAAGCAGTGTCCCCAGAGAGTGGCAGTGGTGGGAGAAAGCCCAGGACCATTGTTCTGTAGTGGCCATACTTAACAGTCTCAACTCTCTTGCTTCTGTAGTCTGCTTTTGGCTGTGGTTTTTCTACTTAGTCTCCTTTTCTTCCTGCCTTTTCTGAGTCTGGTTCTTCAATCTTCCCAAGGTTTCTATGAGTTTCTCAATATATCTTGTCATAAATCCTTTTTGCAAAAAAATCAGCCATGATTCTTGCAACTAATGACCCTATTTAGGTCAATAGTGTTCATGTATGAGATGAGAAAGTTAGGGCAGAGTGTGAAGGATCTCATGCTATGCTAAATATATTTTTTTCATATCTAAGACCTAAAATAAGGGAATGATATGATCATATGTGTATTTTAAAAAATAGTTCTGTTGTTGATGTTGAGATTGGTAAAGAAAAGAATGAAGACAGGAGTCCAGGTAGAAGACTATTGTGATGGTCAGGCAAGAGATAATGAAGGCTTTAAAAGGAAAAGGCAGTGATTAAGAAAGAGAGAAGAGGATTTGAGAGATTTTCCAGAAGCTAAATGTATTGGTTTGGATGACTTATGCTGTGGGTTAGAGGGAGAAGTTGACGATGGCTTTAAGTCTTCTAGCTTGGGTGAATGGATGGATAGAAGGCTGACGGGGCCATTGATTAGGTAAGCCAAAGAGGTTTTGGATACATATTTAAAGTACAGTTATCCGGTAGGCAGGTGCATATACAGAACTGAACTGGAGCAGAAAAGTGAGGGATGGAAAAGTATGAATGGCGTGATCAGAGTATTTAGGTGATCAGAGTAGATGAAGCACCTTTGAGAGCTATAGATAGGTAAATAGCTGGCTAAAGAAAATATCCTCAAGAATATCAGCAGTGACCACTCTCAAAGCTACTTTATAGCTCCTTTCATCCAACGACCAGCTATTTGTTGCATAACTTGTGAAAGGTATTCAACCTCAATTTTAGTTAGCAAAAAGAGGTACACTATGGCTCTTCTCTCCAGGCGTCCTCGTGAGAGTGACATCATCTTTAAACCCTGCGTGGCAATCCCTGACGCACCGCCGTGTTGCCCAGGGAAGACAGGGCGACCTGGAAGTCCAACTACTTCCTTAAG